CTGCCCGCAGCCCGGCTCGGATCCCGCCCGGCGGCTCCCCCACGACCCGGGCGTCTCCTGCCAGCATCCCCCGCCGCTGGACCAGTCCCCCAGGCTCCATCCCTCGGGGCATCTCCTGCCAGGACCAGGATGAGCCGTCAGGGCATGATCACCCAGGCGCAGACCCGCATCCGCACGGACCCCTTCACCGACAGCTACAGCCTGATGGGCAAGGAGCTGGGCAGGTGAGCGCAGGGGGGACGCGGGGGCTGCTGGTGGGCAGGGTGGGGTACCATACCCCCACCCTTTGCCCCCTCTCTTTTTCTGTCACACAGGGGCCTGTGTGCCCCCCCAGCTGTGCCGCTCCGAGGCTGGCAGGCAGCAGGATCCCTCCATTCCTGACCGGCCTGGGGCATTGCCTTGCTGGGGTCACTTGACCGCAGTTGGCTTTTCCTGCCTAGTGCAAGGGGACTGGACCCGATGATCTACAGGGTCCCTGCCAGCCCCGCACAGCTATGAATCTGGGTGCGAGTGAAACTGGCGCCCAGTTGTGGGCACACATTTGTATGAGCAGCGGGTGAATAAAGTCCGAGGGCTTGCAGCAGTGGGGAGAGAGGAGGGTCCTGGGTGAACGGGTTAGGTAGTGTGTTACCTTAGTGAAATAGCTCAGGGTTTGTGTGTCTGCACATGAGTGTGCGTATGTGCGGTAGGCTCAGTGTAAAGAACTTTGGTGTGCGTGTCACTCCCCGCAAACAATTTAGGGTTTGTACCTGTGTGTCGTGTGTGCATGTATCCCTGCAGGTGTTTTTCTCTGCCATTCTGGGTGAATGGGCTCAGAGGATGCATTGTTCTGTGCGTACAGACATTTAAGGTTTGTGTGCGCGAGGCGTTATGTGTGTGTGTTGCTCCGTGTGAGTGGATTTGGGGTATGGAAACAAGGGTGAGGGTTAGCATGTGTGCGTGCGTGTATATGTGTGTGTGCGTACATGCATGCACGCACAGTTTGTACAAATGGGGCTGGGAGTGTGTGAATATATTCAGGATTGGTGTGCGCTTGTTGCTTGGTGTGAATACGTTTGGGGTGTATGCTGCTCTGTGTGTGTGGAGTTTCAGGGTTGGTGTGCATGAGGCAGTGTGTGTGTGCACACCTTGTTCAGGGTAAATGGGGATGGGTGTAGTGCTCTGTGGGTACATGGATTGCAGGTCTTGTGTATGTGTTGACAAATGGGGTTGGGGTATGTGGAAACATAGGTTCAGGATCTGTGTGTGAGGCAGCGTGTGTGTGCATGGGCATGTGTGTGCGTGCGTGCATGTTGTTCCATGTGAATGGGGTGCGTGCAGCTCCATGCCTTTCTTTCAGGCAGCGCAGCCAGAGAGGTGAGTTCTACATCGCCAGCCCCTGTGCAGCCGAGTTAATTAGCAAACAGCCTGGCTGGGAGCAAGTCAGCTCAACTCTTCTTGGCAGCACCCACTGGGGAGGCTGCCAGAGTCGACAGCACAGAAACATCCCTTCTCTGAGTGTCGGAAGTCGGTAGCTGAGCTGCAAACACCCAGTGAGAGCAAGAAGTGGGGGATAGATGCAGTGCACTCGGCTCTGAAACAGCCTGCAATGCAGCTGTACTCAAAGGGGCAGGCTCTGGAGTGGGGCAACTGGGGTGAGGAGGAGCAGCCAGGGGGGTGAATGCAAGTGCTTAGGGATGAGACCCCATTCTGTGGTGCTGCCACCTCTGAGCTAGGCAGACAGAGCCCCATGCCCACACGTGTTGGGAGGCAGCCTCAAGGCTGCTGTTGGAGAGTTGCTGTGCATTGAGTTGTGGCAGGATGTTTCTCTTCTAAGAAGTTCCTTCCTTGGGTTCTCAGTATGGTCCTGTGGCTTTTTTACCTGTGGGTAACATGTAGTAGGGACCTTTCCCTGTATCCCAAGGCCTAAGTGAGGGTCATCTCTCTCTCACAGTGGCAATATCCTCACCTGATCCCACAATGCCAGGCTTAGAGCTGCAATTTGGCTCTCTCCTTCTACGGCTATTGCCAGCACCATGGAGGGGGCACAGAGGCAGCTTGCCTGGGGGAGTGGGGGAGGGCACAGTCACCCCCCTCTGATGCAGAAAGATCACCATTATAAACTTCTTCAGGGCCTTGAAATAACCTAGTGGGGGTAGAGGGTGACATAGAAAGTGGCCTATCCCTGTCACATCTCTGACTCTCCTCCCTTTCGTCACTGATTCGTGACTAGTTCCCCTTTTCAGAGAACCATCAAAGATGCCTAGGCCAAGCTGCAGGGTCCAAGAGAAGTGCAGGGGTGGACACAGGCATAGGCAAACTGGGCAGCTGCCCAGGGCCCAGACAAAAAGCAGGGCTGAAAATGTTCATTTTTTTGTCTGGTTATCATTATTATCATCATTATCTCTGGCAAAGGGGGGCCTGATACTAAAAATTCACCCGGGGCCACCAGGAGTCTAATTATGGTGCCGGAGAAGGGTTATGTATGCAGGTGCAGAGCTTTGGGAGGCTAATTTCTCTCTCTCATGTGCACTGACCCAGACATGGCCACCCACCTGCTCTACACCACCCCCAGAGACCTTCCCCAGGGGTTGTACTTGGCCAAATGCTTTTACTTTCACCAGCACTTGAATTTGGGGGCAATATTGGAGCTGCCTTCCAAGAGCCATATTGGGTTCTAGTTTACATTTGTCCCACTGTCTCCGGCCTTCCCGCTATAAGGTAGAGGGGCGTGGGGCTGGCAGTGAGGGGCTCCTGCCGTTTTGCTTCTCTATGCTTCAGAGCTCTGCAAACAAGCTCATTTGGCTTCTTTCTGATCAGAAGCTAAGTGTGATGTGGTTTCTTGGTCACGCTGATGGAGCAAACTGAGGCTTTAGCTACTGATTTCCTGTGAATGAAGAAAGAGGCCACTCTTTCCAGTTGGCTCAGCAGCTTGGAGCCCTGCTGGTTCTCGGTATGTGTCACTCCACACAGATCTGTCTAACTGAGTCACTGAGAGATCTTTGGATCTCCTCTCCCAGCAGGTGAACTGTCCCCTGTAAATAGCTCAAGCAGCCCTGAGCATTGGGTCGTTCCCTTTATTTATCCGATTGCTGGCATTTTAAAAGCATCCCTGGATTTTTCTGTGATGACACTGAAGTCCCTTGTCCATCCCTGCTATATTTAGTTGCAAGTGTCTGTTGGACTGTCTGGGGCCAGATGTCTGCACTAGGATCTTTTATAAGGAGGTTATTTTTGTGTTGGAAGCCCGCTGGCCTTGACTGTGGTCAACGCCCTGGCATTTTATTGTCTGTCATTGCTCACAGTCCGAGGCACATTGGCCCATTTGCTGCCCCCATATTCAGGCCCCAAGAAATGTCACCTGAGGAGTCTGCTGGGCCTGGTGCTCTCACCTCCTTCTGTACCAGGGCTCATCTTGGGCAAACTTCTTTGATGGCTGCAGTCCTGGCCCACAGTGCCCCTCGCATCCCCTCCTGGGGCTACTCCAGGGCTGGGTCTCCTCTTTACAGGTCTTGCTTCCCAGACTGAATGTGCCCAATGGAAGTGCTCTGTCCCCAGTTCTTGGGCCCAGGAGACATAAGGCATCTCCTGGGAGTCCAGGGTACTATGTGACAAATCAGCATGGGCCCAGATGAGTGGTGTTGCCCCCACTCAGCCCCCTGGCACTGTCTGATCATACTGTTACTCCAAGGAGCTTTCTGGGCATTCACCCAGACCCGGTACTCTCTGATACTGGTGTTTCCTGGAGGCCTTGCCCTGGGCACTGAGTGAAACAGGGCATGGGAACCTCCTTTTGGGCACCTGGCCCATGCTTGCTCCAGGGTGGGACCCTGCCCTGCAGTGCCCTTAGGACCCCTCCTTCGGGAGCACACAGCATGGAAGTTAGTGTCTCATTTCCTGCAGGAGGAGACATTATTCAGGCAGAGTCTGCTTTGGCTGCTCAGATTAGCACAGGGCACCCTGGGGACCACACCACAGTGTGGGAATGCAGAATGGAGGTGGGGCTTGGGTTCAGCTGCTCTGCAAAGTCTTTGCTCACCAGGGCTTTGCCCATAGCAGCTGGAGGGTGGCTGGGTCATGAGGCTTAGGTTAGTGCCAGTGGAAGCTAAGCCCCTCGTGCTGTCCGGGTGCCCATTTTGCAGCAATGAAGCATGTGGGCACAAGTGGAGGGTGATGAGCCCCTTCTTTGCTCAGAGTGCTGGCTGGAAACAGCCCTATGCAGCAAAATGCTTCCAATTTCCTCACCATTAGGGCAATGAACAGGATTTCTGTCCCTCCCAGTGCCTGTCCCTGGGACACATCAGGAGACGGATTGTGGGCTGGCACAGGCTGGAGGGGCTGGGAAGCAATATGCTGAGACCCTGGGAAGGGGGCAGTGGCTGGAGCAAGGGCCTGACAGAGGGTTCCCAAGGGGCTGCCATGCCCAGAGCTAGCGCACCTGTTCCTGCAGCTCTCCCTGCCAACCCAAGCCTGGGGCTTCGGCTCCAGCAGCCCCTGCCCAGCTCTGTGCTGTCTGGTCTGCAGGACAGCTGCAAACTCTTTGCAGATCTTGGCTGCCACCTCACCAGGCTGCAGGGATGGGTTTTGCTCAGAGGGTAGGGCCTAAATCCACACCACAGCTCCAGCTGGCGTCAGCACCAGGCTGGTGGGTGAGCCTCTGTGGGGAGGAGAACTGGCAGGGGCATTTCCAGCCTGTGATAGTAACAGCTGAACTGAGGATAGGCTTTCCACAGAGGTGCAGCCTGTGCAGAATTTCCAGCCCCCACTGGCAGCCCAGTTCAGCAGCACAGAGACCAGGTTGCTGGCTGCCAAATGCTCCAGGCGCCCTCATGGTCTCAGGCTGGCTGACCTCTGAATAAGGCTGACCCTACCCAAATAAGGCTGACCCCACTCAAATCAGAGACATCCTGCTGAGGTTGGGGTGTGGCTGAGAAAGGGGTGCCAAGGCTGGCTTAGCCTAGGCCTACAGGTCAGGACACATTGTCACGAGCAGAGCTGAAGAAAGCCCAGTGCTGCAATAGCAGGGGGACTATGGATTAACACACAGGCTTAACGCCTTTAGCGTGGCTCCTACCACTGGGATGCTCCTGAGCCACCATTCCTGTGGCTTCCTGTATTGAAATCGTAACCTGTTTTTACATGAGCAGGAGCAATGGCCTAGTTCTGGCTTGGGGGAAGGAACACTGTCACTTTTGTAGGGGAGGGTGGTGGGCATGACAGCCCTGGAAAGCACCAGCAGAGCTGTATATTTCAGCAGGAAGCTGAGAGTTGGAGTGGTTGGGGGCTGTGGCTCACTAGAGCCTCTGTATAGGAATCCCGCAGCAGCCCCTCAGTTTTCAGCTATAACTCTTATTCTGGGGACACCAGTGAGAGCAGTGGGGTGAAGCACAGGGCCTGGTTTTTGCAAGTGCAAGATCCTCTTGCTATAGAGAACACAGTTCACTTGGTTCACGTGTCCACAGCTCTCGCAGGTGAGGGGGCAGATGGGCATCTCATCTGTTGGAGGCTCCATGGGCAGTGCCCTTGGCTGGAACCCAGACCACAGGGCCTTGATGGCACTTGGGACCTAAAGACGCTGCAGCAGGCCAGGGGATGGCTAGGTGGCCTGGCCAGCAATGTGCCATCTGGTGCCCTTGTGAAGGGGACAGAGGAGCCCTCTCCCTGGTGGCAGTTGCTAACTGCATTGCATTGGCTTCATCTTATTTTTCTGTGGGGCCAAAGACACAAGAGTAGGGTGGAAGACAGGCTGTGCTGAGCACTCAGGTAGTCCTGGGCACCTCTGTGCTGGCTGGAGCAGCCCCTGCCTCTGCAACACAAGACAGCACATCAGACCTTAGTGGGGTTGTGAGCAGGGTTCAGGGGGTGCTCCTGGCTGGTAGTGGGATGGTCTATCCCAGCTGAGGTAACAGCATCCCTCTTGAAGCCAGAGGCTGCAGGCTTGTTACCGGTTTAGCAGGGTCCCAGTAGTTTAAGGCAGAGACAGGTTTCTGTAGCTCCCAGCCCAGCCCATGGCTTTGGCTGGAACCTGCTGGGCTCTTAATGCATTTTGCTTGAGTTCTTGGATTTGTCCAAGCCCAAGCTGTGGGGCAGTGGAGGTGGGGAAGACCCAGACAGACCAGGGCTGCGGAGGTAAATGTGGCTGGAGTGCTGTGTCCCCACAATACAGAATAGTCACCAGAGGCTTGGCTGCTCTCTCTTGGAGCAGCTGGGGAGTTTGGGCCAGCTCTGACCTTATGTGTGGCATGCACCAGCCTGTGACTTTAAGCACAGGGAGGTCTCAGCACCTCCCCACTGGCTGCTGCCTGGGCTCTAGCTGGAGTGTAGCAGGCACAGCATGGATGAGCAGGTGCCCTGGGTGTCCAGGGGCTGGGATTCTGGAGCCTGGCATCCTGTGGTCCTGTGATTGTCTCTGCTTCAGGCTACCATCTCCCCAGGAGCAGGGCCTGCTGCCCAGGACAGATGGTTTCCATTATGAGATGGAGGTTCCTGGAAACAGCAGCACGAGGCTGCAGAGCCGCTGGCTTAGGGAACGTTGTGTTCAGGAATGTCAGCTTCCTGCTGCTGGGTGACCCTTCTGCCCGCAGGGACAGAGCTCCCTCTCTCCCCACAGCTGCTCCCACAACGTGGCTGCTTCTCCCTGGTGAGCCTCTATGGGACACTCCTTCTGGCAGGGGCCAGTGCTCACAGTAGATGCCAAAAGCATGGCAGCTCTGGGATCACGCCTGCTGGGCAAGGCTTGAATAAAAGACAGGTTGAGGGGCCGGGGGTCATGGGTTTCATTGCTGGACCTGTTGTATGTATAATGGGGTGCTTTAGGGGCTTTGTATGGGGGGTACTGCCTGTGCAGTGTAGGGGGGTTCAGCTGCTGGGCTGTGCAGCTCCCAGATCCCCTTCCTAGCAGCAAATAGTGGTGCTGGGAGGGCAAATGTCTGCCCTGCCACAAGCCCAACTCAAGCTCCCATTGCTCTCTCCCTGGGCTCCTGCATCAGTCTGAGGCAAAGTAGCACTGTGTGGGCCCAGGCCGTGGCTCTACAGGCTGGGTGCAGGGGTGGGTGAGGGCTCCTTCTTTCTCTCTGTGTTTCAAGCTCTGGCTTAATATCAGGCTGCTCCTGAATTGCTGTCTTCAACAGCTTCCTGTGGTGAATGCACAGCTGATGGCCTGGGCCTATTTCCTGCTGGGGTGCAGGGCAGGGAGAGTAGTGTCCCCCTTGCATAGAACAGGAGCAGGCACTACAGCCTGAGGAGGTGGGGAGCATTGTCTACAGACCAGGACTCTAAGGTTCAGCCTATGGACCACCCCCTCCCAGGTGCAAGGGTCTGGGAGGCACCATCCACATACAAGTACAGGGTATAGTGGGTCTCCAGGCCATGGAGTAGGCTGGGCCCCTTTTGTGCAAGGGCAGCTACCATGAGAGCAGGTGAGAGGAGGCAGAAATGGCAGGTGGTGGAGAGGATGGGATAGGGCAGGGGTGGGCCAAGCCATGCAGGGAGGGAAGGGGCATCGGAGGGGCGCAGGTCTATGCATAGGTGCCTCATGGCTGCTCTCCGCAGGGGGAAGTTTGCGGTGGTGAAGAAGTGCCAGGAGAAGGCCACGGGCAAGGAGTTTGCAGCCAAGTTCCTGCGAAAGCGGCGCAAGGGTGAGGACTGCCGACCAGACATCCTGCATGAGGTCGCCGTGCTGGAGATGGCTGCCCCCAGCCCCCACGTGGTGGATCTGCACGAGGTCTATGAGACGCCTGCTGAGATCGTGCTGGTTCTTGAGTGGTGAGTCTTGGGGCCAGGAGCCCCATGGCTCAGATGGGGCTCAGTGCTGTCAGGGTGGGGAGCTGGGTTGTGGGAGTAAAATGAGGGGAGCGAGCAGCTTGGGACATCTCCTGTGTGCTCTGTGCACCCAACTGCCTTCTCTTGCCTTTGCCTCCTTACACTCAGGCTGGTGCCTGGGGCAGCACATTGGCACTCTGGCTGTGAGGGATGAAGGCTGCAGCCCAGGCCCATTTGTATGGTAGCTAGGGGGTGGCAGCAGGGTTGAGCCATGCCACAGTAGTATGTGAGTGAGCCTAGGGGAACAGCTGGCCAGAGGTGGCTACCTCAGCATACTGGGAGCTGCCTAACACTGCTTAGCACCCGTGCTTGCACTCCTGCTGCCTGAGGAAGGAGTTCTCTTCAGAGCACCATGCGCACGGCAGGAAGTGACTTAACCAGACCATGTCTGAGAAGTGGTGTCAGCTCTACTTCTCAGCAACCTTTCCGGGCAGCTGCTGAAGCTCTGGGCCACATCCTCCCCACATGGCTCCACCACAGCACCCTGTCTGGGTCCCCTAGGAGTGCGACTTCCTGGCTGGGGCCTCTGCAAGAACCTGGCTGTGCACAATTAACAGGAAAGAGACCCAGACGACACTGGGGACAGTGACGCAGGGAAGGTGTCACATTGCGGGGACTGACCCCCTCTCCTCTGCTAGGGTGCGATGGGCTGAGGGCCTGACCACGGGGGAAGAGTGATGTACAGAGGCACCGCATGGCTGTCTCTGGGAGGTACTACCTGTAGAGGAGGAGCTGGCTCTCTCCTGCACCTGGGACCAGAGTCTTGACGTAGGGGACAGAGCCCATACCACTGACAGCGTACCTGGAGGGACCTGCTCCTCTGTTCCATGCCCTTCATCCTTCTTGCCCAGGAAGTTCTCCCCTGTGAAAAGAGGAAAACTCAGCCCAGCTCTTGGGCCTTGGTGCTAGATGGGATGCTTGCCTGGACTGACAGGCCGCTTCCTGACACGATTAGTTTGATACAGGGACCCAGGGCAGCTGGAGACCATAGTGGTTGCCCCTGCATCCCTGCCAGCTTCCTCAATGGCCCTGGAACTTGTGGGAGCTGCCCAGGAAGGGCTGGGCTGGCCTGGGCTGCTGAGCCAGCTGTTGCCAGTGCAGCACCAGGTGTTTGTGAGGCATAATGAGTGCCTTGGAGGCTAATGATACCCTCAAGCATGCACATGGGTATAAATACTGTGCCATCTAATTACACAGCACCTGATGGGTGACTGGGCTAGGTGGGGCACTGTGTGAGATTTGGGGATGGGGGTGAAGCAACCTGCTCTGGGTTGCTTCCAAGAGCTGCCCCCCCCCCCCGCCTCAGCAACCAGGTCCTGCAGAGCAAGGGTGGGGTGGGGAATCCATCACCAGATGCACAAGGCCCCCAAACTAGGACACAACCCCTGGCTGGATGGCCCCAGATAGGCCCCTTGGCATATGCATGATGCTAAGCCAGGTGGGGAAATATGCGTGGGTGACATCCTCTTGGAGATGCAGTACTGAGCTCCCGGAAGTGGCCTGTGGTTTGGAGCCTGAACTGCAAGGTGGCTGGGCCTGCATTGCAACCACAGGGACCGAAAACAAGATGTGCAACTCATCTCTAAGTAAATGCCATCTGATCTGAGTGCTCAGTCTTGCTCTCACCCCTACCTACAGCTGCATTCAGAAGGGCCCACTCAAATCAGAGCCCTCATGTAGTATCTACGACAGTCCCAGCTGCTGGAGTTGACCACTTAAATAAGCAGATGAGGGGCAGGGTAGACCACAGGTGTAGAGTGGAGAAGGCATGCAGTGGGGCTTGCACAGCAGGTCAGTAGAAGCCAGGCGTCATGACTCCCAGTCTGTTGGACCACGTTCTGCGTGCATGTTCTGTCCCTGAGTTGTGGTGGCAGGAGAGGATTGGGTTTGCCTACAGCAGCGTGGCCCAAGCTGGGGATTTGCAAGGACAAGTCTTGGCACTCCACAGTTGACTCAGGGCAAGGTCCCACCTCCTGCTATGCAGGAGAAAACTCACTGGTTGCAGAGAGGAGTAGGAGCATCTCCCACCAGTGGGGCTTTGCCCCACACTGCCATTTCAAGCTGTTTTCCCTCACCCCCAGGAGGAGAGGCTTGGACTCGAGCTTCCTGGGCAAACTGGCCCCACAAGAGGTCCCAGCCTACACAGACCAGCATGTGTAGGGAATCCAGCCCCTCAGTGTTCAAACACCTCAGACATGATTGAAGACAGTTAATCCGGGCACTAGGGCAGTGCTGTTACCTGTGGTGCAGCCAAGGAGCTAAGGGCTGATCTACACTGAAGTCACTGTGACTGTAGTGCTTTGGAGAGGTCTCCAAGCTGGCTGTAACTGAATATCAGAAGCAATCTAGCCATCAGCACAGAACACAGTGCAGACTGATCTGTGCAGAGAGGCTCTGTGATTGCAGCACAGACATAATCTGAGGCCCCCAGGAAGTGATTGGTCAGGGTTACCCAGGGTGTCTGTGGCAGGGCTGGGAACCTTGGTTATCCATTGCCTTGGCTGGTGCCCTGAACACTGCTCTGCATTGGCTGGGTCTTTCTTGTGTTGGCTATTGGTCTGGCTTTACAGGAGATTCCTGGAAAGACACCAGCATCAGAGGCAGCGTGGGCCATTTTGGCACAGGACAGGACATGCCCTCTCCCATGTAGGTTTGAGCAGAGCCAGGAGTGGCTCCTCCCCACAATTAGCCAGAGCATGAGGCTGGCCCCTACCTGGGGTCCCCCTGCAGCTGCCTTGGGGGCAGCCTGGAGCCATGTGTAGTGCTGCAGCCCAAAGCCCCTCCTGGCTGTGTTTGCTTTGCCAGAGCGCTGGCAGAACTCACTGCAGAGGCATGCCTGGCGGCAGCTGCACCTCACATTCCCCAGCACAGTAGAGTCTGCTCCCAAGCAGGTGAGACGTGCCAGATCGACAGCCCTGCAAGGCAAAGTGCTGGATTCAGAGAACAAGTGCAGCACAGGGTGGGACAGGATCCCTCCTCTGCCTCAGCCTCCCCCTCTCCCTCCTCAGGCCTCTGCACAGAGACCCCAGGCACCTGGGGCAGAAGGGGAAGAGATGGGGCAAGCTGCACTCTTCAGGGGAGGGCCCATCTATGTCTCTAAATCTGACCAGTCCTGGGTCATCCTGGTGACCTGCCAGTGGCAGGCCATTTAACTAGATGTTGGAAATGACATGGCCTAGGATACAGGCATCAAAGTGCCCTGTGCCATCTTGCCCAACTGCAGTGCAACCTCCATTTCCCCTTTCACCCTGCAAGCATGCTAATATTTGTGGAAACAAGCCCCCCACTCCAGCCTGCACTTGCCCTGACCTGCTGGCTCCTGCCTGTGGCTGTAGGAGATGGGGGTGGGGGAAGGCTGTAGTCCCAGCTGATGGCAGCTGGGCTTTGCCGGTAGCTGGGGAACTGCCACATCTGCCAAGACACCAGCCACCATGAGAAAGGGAGTCTGGGTTTCAGTCCACATGGGTGCCAGGTCCTGACCAGTAGCTGTCTGAGGAAGCTAGGATGAGCAGCAGCTGGGAGGACACTGGCTCATGGTGGCCTTTTCTGGACTTTCTCCATTCACTGAGTTCTGGTGCAAGGCAGTCTGCACAACTGGTGCCCTCCTGCCTGGCATTTCCTCAGCCTGGTGATTCTGTGAGCTGCAATGACCCCACCAAAGCAAGGGTGCCTCATGCTGGGGGAGAAGGGAGGCCTCTCCATTCAGCAGCTTCAAAAACACCTTTACCTGCTCTTTGTTTCCTTCTGAACATTCAGGATCTACCGGTTGTGCTGCCTGGCATCCAACCCAGCAACAGGCCATGGCCTCAGCCTCTGCTTGGCTATGTGGGTGGCACCTGTTATTGCCTCCTAATGGCAGATACAGAAGTGGGGTCAGGGTGGAGTCTGTCTCCTTGATTTCCTTTGGTCACCTTGGAGGTGCTGACAAAGGAAACATGGCGGCCTGTCCATGGGGCACTCTGAGACTGGGCAGACAGGAGGGCAGTGGGCAAACATGCAGTCACATCACTGGGCCCTCCTTCCTGGGCCTTCACTGGGTATCAGAGCACAGGTCCAGCTTGAGCCACTGCCCCACCCTCCCAGGGCTTACAGATGGGCCTTCTCCATCCTGCTGGGGCCTGTAGTTCTGTGACCCCACAACAGTGAGGCTGGAGAAGCTACACGCCCATTTGGTGTAGGGACACCTTCTGCCCCAGTGTTAAACCCTGTCAGGGATCAGAGCACTTTCAGTTCTGGGTGGCTCCCTGTTTAGGCCTGAATTTGAATTATCTCTCCGCCCCCAGTCTGCAGCTTCCACTACAGCCCAGCCAGAGCCCTAGCTGGTGGTTGGGGTTGGGGGTGTATGTGAACCAGGGATCCCTGCACACATGCATCCCCCACCAACCCTATGATATGCCAGTGGTGTGTCTGGTGCATCCCCATGGCCCACCTCCTGCCCAGGGCTGACCTGGTAGTTGGGGTGACGGGACGCACAGGGTGCTGGTGGGTGGCATGCATGGCCTTGCCCCTCCTGCCGCTGGCACTGTTTACATGGTTACATAACAGCCCCACCCTTGTGGGTGAGTAATAGGATCAGCTGGCTCCAGTGCTGGGGTTCAAGCCAGGACGCAAAATCGCACAGCATTGGCCCAGGGGGCAATGGGAAGTGGGTGGGTCCTACAGGAGAGGGGCCTGGAACCCTTTTCCCTCCACGTGCCCTGTGCCCAGGCATGGTCACCCTACCCAATGGGTGTGGAGCAGGCTGCAGTGCCGCTTATCAGCTCCCAGAACTGGGAAACTACCCACACATAGGTCAATACTTGGCTGTCTTGTGGGCAGCCTTATCCTGGCTGAGCTGTGCTTATGCATCCAGGAAAGGAGTGCGCCAGGGTCTTAAAGGGCAACTTAGGGAGGGTGATGCTGATGGGAAACATGCCCTGCACCCACTCTGGGGAGGGAAGAGCCAGGACTCCTGGGTTCTAGCCTTGATTCTAGGAGGGGGATGGTGTTTAGTGGGTTGGAGCAGAGGGGTGGGGGCTGAGAGTCAGAGCAGAGGTGTTGGCTGCAGGTCCTGGTTCCAACAGCCCTTCATCTGCCCCCTCCCATCTGTGTTGCAGTGCGGATGGAGGAGAGATCTTCCACCAGTGCGTGGCAGAGCAAGATGAGGCCTTCACTGAGAAAGATGTCATCCGGCTGGTCCGGCAGATCCTGAGTGGTGTCTCCTACTTGCACAGGAACAATGTCGTTCACCTGGACCTGAAGGTACCAGCCCCATTGGGGTGGGGGTGGCAGGACCTGGTGGTTATTCCTGCTTTCTGTGGGGCTGGTGCCAATCCTGAGCTTGTGGTCCAGAGCCTTGCTGCCAAGCTGGGTATTTCTGGGCATGTTTACATGTGCTCTGGGGGGGGCGGTGATACATTTTTTAAGTGTGGGGATGCTGGTACATGAGACGCAGGAGGCTGCTGGAGCACAGTAATTGCCACATGCCAGCGGACTCACTTAATTGAGTCTGCTCCAACACACTGTAATTCCAGCACATCAGAGCAGCCTCCATGCTTAGGTATAGGTGTCCTCTGGTCCCAGAAAGCAGTGTCTGTCTGTGGCCATCTCTCTCTGCCCAGATCAGAATTGGCTGGTGTCCCTCTTGGGAGAGCACTGGTCACATCCTGTTCCCTCCTCACTCAAGCTCTGAATCCTTCTCGCCCCTGTAGCCCCAGAACATCCTGCTCACCTGCAGCAGCCCCTTAGGCGACATCCGCATTGTGGACTTTGGCTTATCCCGGCGAGTGGATGCTGTGCAGGAAGTGCGCGAGATTTTGGGCACCCCAGAGTATGTGGGTAAGTGGTGCATTGGGCACAGAGCAGCCACCCTGGGGGCGGGGGACTGCAGGCCTGGCTCAGCCAGTCTGTCCTGAGCACCTGGGTTCTGAGCCCCATGTCCCAGGATTCCCCCACATACACCGCCCCCTCCAGTGGTGAAGGGGAGCAGTCCCTGGGTCCTCTCTCTGCCTCTGCAGCCTATTCACTGGATGGCATGCAGCACACAACCTCCCCCTCCCCTGCCCAGAGGTACTGATCTGCTAGCACACTGGCAGGAGCAGCTGGCACATGTGGGGCTCTGAATCCTGGGAGGTACTGGAGGAGCTTCAAGCCAGCTGTACAGTCCTTAATTCTCCTGTATTTCCCTTTGTAGCCCCCGAGATCCTGAACTATGAGCCTATCAGCACAGCCACCGACATGTGGTAGGTCGCTCTGCCCTCTCTTGGCTAGCTCTGAGCTGCTGCAGACAGGCGGGGGCTGAAGTGTCTGTTTGTCCTTCTTTCATGTTGGGGGAAGGAGCTGGGTGCCCGCAGTTCGGCACTCTGAACTGAGTCGCATCACCCTTGCCCCAGTTGCATGCTTTCTGGATTGGGAGGAAGTAGTGTCATGCATTGCCACAGTGGGGGCAGTGCTGAGATCTTGTTCACCCTGGCATGAAGGACCCCTGGGCACTACATTTACTGGCAGGAGCACTGGAGATGCAGGAATCTGCCCATTTCCCTCTCTCAGCAGGGATGCCCACAATGTGGGGGAGTTGTCTTGTGGGGTGCCTGGGTATCCCCCATGATCATGCAACCTCCCAGCCTCTCAGGGTCAAAAGCTCAGCTTGTTGAAGGGGGAGCACTTGGGGGCAAGGAGCTTGACCCAAGGACCTCACAGGCCCCCGGTCTCCAGGGTCAGCCTTGGGCAGGGCCCAGCAGGTAATTGCAGGAGGCAGTGAGTCTCAGGCCTTTGGCCTTGCCTTCCAGGGTAGCTTTATCTCCCAGCCCTGACCCAACCAGAGCAGGTTAGCAGTGGGAACAGAGACCACCGACTTCCTGGTGATGTTGTCTCCACTGCCAGTCTCTCCACTGGCTCCTCACAACCAACTCCTCCCCTCCACAGGAGCATTGGTGTCCTGACCTACGTCATGCTGACAGGTGAGTCGCCCTTCCTGGGCGACACCAAGCAAGAGACCTTCTTGAACATCTCCCAGGTGAACGTAGAGTACCCACCTGACGTCTTTGAGGGCATCTCCGACCTGGCCATCGAATTCATTCAGTCCCTGCTCATTAAGAACCCCAGGTACCTGCTGTTGCCTCCTCACCTGCCCCAATGGCCCCAGCATGTGGAGTCCCTGGGCAGAAGCTGCCAGCCAAGACCCCATCTTGTGGTGGGCTGTGACAAGGGGATTGTCCAGATTTGGACTTGCGATGACTGTAGGGCTACTCGGTGATGTGCTTGATGGTGGTAGAGGGGGGAGCACTTGGGAGGAATTTGCTTCTTGCTGGGATGTCACCCTGCTGCCCTGTACATCAGAGTGCATGGGGTAGGGGTTAGCTGCGCTCTCTGCAGGGGAAGAGGTGGCTGTCCTGAGCTGGGGGATGTATCCTGTGGGTAAGGCTGGGGGCACTGTGGGGACACCTGGGCTGCAGACACTAGCCCCGTCCTTCTCCCTGCAGGAAACGAGCCCAAGCTGAGCAGTGTCTCCAGCACCCCTGGCTGTCACCATCACCAACTTTGGAGCTGTCATCCCCACTGCTGGCAGAATCGGAGCTGGTGGCGGGGAGCAAGGACAGCAGCCCAGACGAGGCCCAGGAGCTAGTCCTGGTGACTTCCTACACAGTGCGCCGCCCCTGTCGGCAGCCGCAGGAGACAGAGCTGGCTGGCGGGGGAAAGACGTTCCCAGCGCTGCAAGAGATTGCCCAGGAGCTGGTGTGCTGAGACACGTACCATGTGCCCTTGCCTCCTGCCTCAAAGGATCATGTGCTGGACTTGCTGCTGCCCCAGGCCTGCTGGGTGCTTCAGGCCTGTGGTGCCTGCCCTGGAGTCAGGCAGCCCCTGGACTCCAAAGGGGTGGATGCCCCAGAGTGGGGGTCTTCTGCTTGCTGACCAACCCCAGGAGGGGAGTAGTTCTGCCTTAGGGTCTCTCAGGAACCAGCTGGATGCCCAGCTGCTGGAGGCACCTGTGCTACTGTGCATGGAGCTGAGACTCTTGTGTAAATAGGTTTGTGAGGGGATGGAGCCCCCGAGCAGGGCAGTGGCTGCTTCCAGTGCTCCAGAGGGTATGGGAGGGTTGCTGATGTCTGCTGTGCATGTGGAGGGAGGGAGATGCCCTGCTACTGGTCAGGGCTTGCTTGTTGGGGTGTCATGTCCCCAGAAGCCAACCCCTCCCCCTCACTTAGCCAGCAATTGCAGGAAGAAGCTGCCCCCTGATACCTCTGTGGCACCCCTAAAAGATTTTGGGCTTCTGCAAAGGGGGATGCTCTGACCAAGGGAACGCTCCTGGTCACAGGACTCAGGCTGGAACCGAGTCTGCAGAAGCAGGTCCTGGAGCTCAGTGTCCCCAGGCAGGCCTGGCAGCTGCACAAGGAGCACCATATCCTGGCAGGGCTGTGCCCTCTGGATTGCTGGTGGAGCCCCTGCCAGCCCACCATGAAGCCCCATCTCCCTGGAGCAAGGAAGCACTGCTGGGGGGAGCTAGGCCTACAACCAACACAGGCAGTAACTGCACCTTTTGGGGGTGCGCTGGGACCCAGCCCATCCCTGCAAACAGGCTTCATCGGGGGATATGACGCTGTGCTTTGTAAGTGGTTTCTGAACAGCTTTAATTAGCTGATTATTTAATAGCCCCGCTGGGTGAGGGGAGGGGAGGGCTAGAGGGTGAAGGCTCACATGCTCCCACTCAGTGCCAATGGGCCATGGGCAGGCTCCAGCTCCCAGGAATGCTGCTACCTGCACCACACTGTTGTTATGCAGGGTGCCCTGGTACCAGGGAAATTAGTCGGCTGGGGGGGTCAGCATTGCTTCCTTCCTGCCCTCCCCATTGAGGCCACTGCCTCAGATACTTCTGGGGTGTGGGGGGGAATTGCCAGGAGTGGGGCAATTTTTTGGATAGAGGGTAGAAGCAGTGGGGCCTGCAGGGGGTTGGTACAGGGCTCAGGGATTGGTGTGCCCCCATCTCCCATTCACTGTCTGGTGTCCTGGGTCCATCGGATCTGCAACATACATGACTCAAGCACAGGAAAATCGGTAGCTCAAAAGGCCCCATGTCTTGTACAACCTCCCAGTGCCCTTGGCTGGACGTAACAAGAACAGCCGGGGGGAGGGGGATTCCCAGCCATGGCCACTTCTACCCCATGTAGGTATTTGAAGCAGAGGGACCCCAGGGAGCTGTTGTCACAGGGGAGTGATGGTCCCAGCAGGGAATGCGCTGCTCTGTTGCCACGTGTTACTTGGTTGCTGGATTTTTTTTTTAAATAAAGGATTAATATTGATCTATGCAAAGGCTCTTGTTCTTCTCCCCTGCTCCTGTGGGTACCTGCTGCATAGCCCCTCCCAGTCTGAGCATTTACTGCCCCTCAGCCCCATGCCCAGGGCCTCACCAGCTGGGCCTGGCCTCAGTCCCTACCAAGACCCCTGACTCCCAGCTGGCCCCAAGCAGGACTTCCCCCTGCACCTACTTGTGTGTCAGGTTAGCACGGCTCTGCTGTGCACAATGAGCTCCATGCAGGGAGGGCAGGACAGACAGTTGTTGGCTCCTAGGCCTCAGTGAGGCACTGGGACCCCTGGGCACTGCCTATGTGCTGGGCACCAGGGCCATGACCTAACTGCACCTGCTCTGCAGAAGGAACACCCACCAGCTGCACTGGTGCCTACCAGGGCAGGAGCAAGCATGGTTTGCAAATGTGGCTCATGTAGCAATGCGTGGGAAGGATGGAAATCAGCTTGGCCGCGATCTCTTGGGTAGATCCTGTGCGGACGCCAGGCCGGCTGGCTGGGCGCACCCTGCTCTGCCCACTCCCCAGCAGCAGAAGACAGCACACACCCATTTCAGAGCAAGGGGTCAAGGTGCTGGCATGGTCCCACTACAACAGCTTGGTCTCATGGCCAACCAGGGGCGGGACAAAGCTGTTGCCCAACAGCACAAATGGGAGAGGAAACCTGACTTACCCAGAGACACTCAGGGCAAAGAGGAACACTTAGGTGTCAGAGCCCTTTTCTTTGCTGCAGGCAGAGGCATGGGTCTCTGCTCTTGCTTCAGCTGCAGTGAGAAGACACTTTGCTCCATCCTCCCCAGGCCCCTGCCCACACTCGGCGCTTTCTGACATGAGTTAAACACTGAGCCAGCATGTGTGCACCCGACAGGAGCCTGGGCGTGAGGAGCGGCAGCACAGGCCCAACAGCCCCCAGCCGTACCATGCACGCGCACACGGCTGGGCACAGCCCCCAGCACGGCAAAGGCATCTCACAGGCAGGTGCCAAGGTCTGCACCAGCTTTGACGGCTGTGTGCCACACAGACAGGTGGTGCTGGTGGTGGGCTTTGGGCAGGGCATCTCACCCCCAGCACTGCAGCTGCCCTCGGGGGAGGCATGGGCCCAGCTGTTTCCACACGGGGCCCTTTGGAAACAAGGAGCGAGGCCTCCTCTGCTCTGGAAGCAGAGCACCCGCCGCCAGCAGGGCCTGAGCTGCCCCATGGCGGTGCCCCCAGGATCCGAGCTGCCCCCTGTGCGTGCCAAGGGAGCAGCTCAAACGGCCACATGCAGCAGTGCTATGCCAAGCCCATGGCCAGGCCTGTCCCAACTCCACGTGCAGAGCGCAGAAGCCGGCCCCCTCCCTGTCCCTGGGCTTCGCCTCCCTGCTCCCCCCAGCCGCCCCGCTCTGCACAGCAGCCCCCGGAGCAACTCTCGGGGCCCCGCCTGCCCCCACGGCCGGCAGCCTGAGGAGCCCGCACCCGCCTCAGCCGCAGCCCCGGGACGCCCGACGGGACAGGCCCTGCTCGCAGCCTCTGCTGCCACCTGGCGGCCGCCCGGCGCCCTGCTAGCAAGACTGGGCCCTCCCCTGCTGCTGCGCTCACGGGCCGAGGCGCTGGGCCTCCGGCTCTGCAGCAGCCCCTCCCCGCGGCAGCCCGGGAGGAGCCGGGCACGGGGCAGAACTACTGGAGGGGGAGAACGCGCGGATGGTAGTTTTGTCCCAAAGCAGCTCCCGTTGCCCAGCGCGCAAGTGCGCGAGCGGAGCAGGGCGGGGCCGGGCTTCCCACGCATGTGCAGAGGGGCGCTCCACCAGCTAGGCCCGCCCGGCTCTACGCCGCTGCGCTTCAAAATGGCGGCGCCCAGCGTGGGGGAAGAGCCGGGCGGCAGTAGCGGCGGCTTCGGGCCGTGGCTGTCGGGGCGGCTGGAGGCACTGGGGCTGGACCGGGCCGTGTACGGCGCCTATATTGAGGGGCTGCTGCGGGAGGAGGAGAGCGACGAGGAGCGGCTGGATGCGTTGCGCGGGGTGCTGGCCGCCTGCCTGGTGAGCGCCGCCGGGCCAGGCGCACGCGACCCGCAAGTCACGGAGGCCCCTCCCGGGGCCCGCGGTGTCACAAAGCCCCGCGAGCCGCCCGGGCCGCGCTGCTGCCCCGTGGAGCCGGTGCTGCCCCTCCTGGGAGCCCAGGCGAAGCCTGGGGCCCCTTGCACCTGGCTCGAGGCCCACCCGGCTGCGGCACTGTGGCGAGCAAGTAGCACTGCCGCCCCCTCCTGTGGCCGGCTCCCCAAGTGGGGCGGGGCCGGGCCGCCCCCGGGTCATAGTCCCTTCTCCCCCCATGCGGGGCTGGGCCGAGCCCCTTTCTCCTGCCCTGCTGTGTCGGGGCCAGGTGGCCCCCTCCACCTGACTAGATGGGGCTCTGCCCCGTGCACCCTGGGGCTGGCTGGTCTGCTGGCTGAGCACCGCTGGACTAATTGAATGGGAGATGCATAAGCTTTTGGGAGCAAGAGCTCAGATCAGCAGCTGCTCTGGAAGGATGCAGGCTTTGAGAGTGTAATTCAGATACAAAAGATGAAGAAGGGAGGGCGGCGGGGCTAAGAGAGGCAAAGAGGAGACAAACCCATGGGGACAAAGAACAGAAAAGTTGATTTAGGGAATGGGTAGCTTGGTGCTGGGCCTCCTCATAGTACAAGGCAAATGTGTTGTCAAGATCCCCAGTGCACTGAGGTGCATCTAGTCTCTCTGAGTGTTTGAGGGACATGCTGGTCTAGTCTCTGCATCAGGGCTGGAGGGTTTCTTGTAACTTATGATCCAGAGAGGGCCAGGGAGTAAGTGAGAAGCAAGAGTTTTGGTTTCTTTTCAGGGATAGTTTTTATTGGAGCAGCTTTGCAGTTGCAAGAGCTGTTGGACAGATCTTCAGCCAGGACCTCAGGCCCTGAAGAAACGCAGTTTACCCAAAAGTTTGTCTAATATTCTCCCACTGACACAGTTGGTCCAATAAATTAGAACACCCAAAGGCCCTTGCTTCTGTCCTTTAGGGCAGTTAGTGAATAAGGCAGGTGAGTTGTTCCTGCAGAGGGTTTCTGAGGACATGGTTACACTGATGGAGTTTCCCTGAGTCTAGGGACTCTGAAGCAAAAGTAGGAGGTAAATGTTTTGGGGCAGCTGCACAGGAATGAACAGCCATGCCAGGAAGGAGCCACCCTGGATTAAAACCAGGGTAACATCTCCTGTGTTAAAACAGATTTACATCTGTTCAAGCGTTTGTACACTGAGAGGACAATGTTTTCCCTTCCTTTTCTTCCTCCCTTTAGGGGCAGTTCCTGTTCATGTGTCAATGGCCCAAGTGAAGAAATACGCCGTGAATTTTGGTGACAGTTTCCTATTTTGCTAATTATTCCCTTGTCCCTAGACTTGCATTTTAGGGGGAGGCCCTGGACAAAAGTGTGGAGAAGCAGGTGCTGGCAGCTGGCTGGTTCTCTGTATTAGCTGAGTTTCTGTGATATTCATGCTGATTGCTTCCCATTTCTCTTGGTTCAGTTGGCAGCCTCAACAATGAGGCAGGGAGTAACTTGGATTGTTTGCTTATCTTTCTTTCCCTGCTGACACAGTATTGAATGTTGATTAGATAATTGCTCAGCTATCCCCAGGGAGCTCTCTTGGAATGATAGAGGGCTTTCTTTGCTTTTCCTGCTCAAGAAGAGACAGTTAGCTGTGTAGGTCTGAATCATAAGCAGGGCAGGGTGGCACCTGAGAGAGTAACTGGTTCAGAGACATAATTAGGTTTTGTAGGCAACTGTCTGGCTATTATCTACAAGAGCATATGCCTCTAACCAGTTAGTCTCTAAGGTGTGCTTAGTCATCCTGCTGTGCTTTCTTGTTTAAGGTCTGTGAAGCTGTAGAGGGAGAGAGAGTGAGGTGGTACAGGCTATGATCTTTCCAGTATGTTGGTGAAACTTAGCTTGGGAGGAGAATTAGAAAATAGTGGGAAATTTATATTAAATATTATATTATGTTACACAGATTAATAAGTTGGAAGGCTTTTGGGATCCTACATGTATCTGCACAGCCACGTGGCAGAAGTGGTTAAATGTTTCTATTCTCTTCTGTGTCTAGTCAAGATTTCCACCCCAGTACTTTAAGGTGGTCTTTTAGGTACCTTGAGGCCAGGTCATGGAGAACTTTTTGACAATAAGTACTGCAAAAAGCTGGGTAGAGTGTGGGAGACAGGTCTGCCAACCTGTGGTGTCCCCTGTGCTGAGAAGGTGTGTTAGCTGCCTGTGCTAGTTGAAATTTCCTAAGGGCTGAATTTTTGCAGGTTGACTGAGAAATGACAAAGGTTTGTGTAACAAAGCCAGCTCATTGTCCACCGGAATAAGTAGTTCCTAGCCAACTGAAGAGCATAGTGAGACATGCTGCTATGGGAGATCTTCATGTCAGTGAGAAGTCCAAAGGTACTTCCAAAATAAATGACCAATTGGGCATGTGCACTTTGAATTGAAAGAAACTGTACCATGACTGCAGGGTTGTCGGTATACGTTTTTCTGCCACCAGCACTGTCTCTACCTTGCCTGGGGTCGGCTTCCCTTAGCTGTTCCTTATTCAGGTTTTGGGTCAGTTTAGAGGCAGTGTGGGTCATACATGGTGAATGAGAGAACTAAGATACTGTCATTTATTGGCCCTTGAGTCCTGTCATCTAAACAGGTGCCTTGCAAGTGAATGTTGAATGGGTCCGAGACTCCAAGATGAGAGATGTAGTGGTGTGTCCTTCTCCCTTGCCTAATGCTACCAGAAGAGTTCAAATCATTGTAGTATATTCTTGGCACCCTTGCTCTCTCTTTCACTTGGGACAGCAGTGTCTCATGGTTAGCGGTCTTGAATGTTGCAGAACAGTTAAAGAGGATGAGAGATGACATCTGCCCCATCCTGTCCACTGACAGGAGAAGACAGTCCATCAGTGCCACCAGTGCAGTTTCAGTTCCATTTATTGGTCTGAATCCAGCTTGTTTTGGGTCTAGAATATTACTTTTAGTTAGATGAACTTGTATATGGCCTTTGGCTACTTGTGTATGATCTTGCTTATGAATGGAAAGGTTGACACTTGGGTAGTAGGTGACTAGAACCAATATATCAGGATGTCTTTCTTCAGCACTGTTTGGACTAGAGTAGAGGTTGGCTGTCCCAGAGGTTCAGCTGTAGCAAGTCATCTCTGTTTCACACTAAGATGAGAAAAGTGCACAGACACAATCTCCCATAATGCTGCAAAGCCACTGAGGGGCTGTTTCATAATCTCTGCTGACACTCATGTAGGGATCAGGTGAATAACACTGCCTGAAAGTGAGGAAGGTGAACTGGCTAAAATGATTTTAAACTTTTTTTTTGAAAGTGTGTAGTCTAGATAGACATGCTTTGGTTTCAACTCAGCAAGCAACTTAAGCACATGCTTAATGAGAGGTCTCCCTTCACAAGCTACATCTTTCAGGCTTGACTCTTTGCATTCAGATTATTTGGGGTTGGCATCTTCCATATTTTGAGTGATGCTGATTTTAAGGCAGATGTACCTTTTTTAAAACTGAGTTCTCTCTTTCCATGCTAGGAAGAAGACCTATTACAACATGCTTGCAAGGAAATAGTCAAGAAATGGTCTGAATCTCAGATTGTTGAAGCCAAAGAGAAAAAAGAAGGTAGAACTGATTTTTTTGGGGGGCGGGGGGGCATGCCCATAGCCAAATACTATCTGCAACTTGAGAACACTATTAAGATTGAAATTGTGTGTTTTACCAAAAGTAAATACTCTTGGGAACACCCTGCAATTGTTAACACTTTCACAGACTATTTTTCACGTATGCAGCTCCTTATTTACAACTTATCTTGAAACATGAACCCCAGTTGGTCAGTTTTGCTTCTGGTCTTCTTTCACTAGTGCACAGCTGGTATGAGAATTCACGATCCTTGGGGAGTTCATAACTTCTGACAGAAAAAGAAGTCTCTCCTCACAAAAAAATTAAGTCTTGGTCTACACTTCAGTTTTTGATAGGGCTGTGTTGCTGGAATGGGCTCCTGGGCCTAGAATCCAATGCTTTAGGTTTTCAGGCAGTCCCTTGCAAGGAATCCCCCAAAAGCACCGCTTCAAACTCTCACTCCCAACTGCAAGGCATGAAACAAGGCATGTCCTATATTATGCGGTATATAAAAATAGGGAAAATGAGGAAATAGCCAGTGCCCTGCCACTGCAATGATGGGGAAGAAGCTTGGTTTTAACAGATGCTCAGAAGATTCTGTAGCATACATATCCTCTCCTTAGAGGAAGGCAATCCCCCCACCCTATCCTTGCTAATCTGACTTAAGGGGAAAATTCCTTCCTGACCCTAAATTTGGCAGTCACTGTGATCCTGAGTGGGAAAGCAAGACCCTCTAGCCAGAACCCCCTAAGCTTTCAAAATAATGGCAGCAATAGCAGTGCACCGCAGTCAAAACATTCTGCCGTTTCCCCAACTGCCAGCTCTAGCAAGTGGTCCGAAGAAGACAGTCCATCTACGATGTAAGCTCAGAGAGGGATGTGTGTGGAACTTTCCGGCTCCTTCAGGCAATCAGTAAAACCCCTAGAGCAGGGTTGACAGCATTTTTGGGCAGAGTCCCCAAAACACCCATAACCTCAACTTGTAAGATGTTGGCATGCGAGAGCTGGATGGCAGGGGAGCTAGCTGCAAGGGGCCCAATCCTTATTGTGGCGGCATAGCTGTGGCCCCTTCCCCTCAGTCTGCCCCAGGGGATGCGTCCCAAGCAGAATGCCTCCACGTGCCACACTCTGGCACCTGTGCCAGGGATTGCCTACCCCTGCCCTAAAGGATGGGATTGCTAGGCTCCTACCACACTGCAAGGAAGTTACCTGTATCTCCTGAGAGGATGTAATCACATTTTGATCAGTATTTACCTTTTGGGTTGTCAGAGCTTTTAGTGACCTCAAAACTTATGTCCTGTTGCTGCAAGTCCTTGTAACAGCGTGACAGTTACGTTGGGCTCTGTTGCTTGGGATAACTGCTGTGATAATAGAGGACTCCTGAGAAGGTTTAAAGGGGCACAATTAACTTGCACCTGGCCCCAAATCTAATTTTAATTCCAAATCCAAATGTTATGGAAACTAGATCTCTTGAAACCTAACACCTCCTAGGAATGTTTCCACACTTAAACTTTTTTTTTTTTTTTTTTTAAACGCTAATATTCTTGAGACAAGCAAATCCTGTTGTGATGCTAAGAGACTGACATTGAAGCTAGGTGTAAATAGTGGATTGTTATTTTTCACTGTCCAAATAGAGAATTTTTTAGCATAAATAATGTGGTGTTTGTTTATATTTAAAACAAATTATTTCACATAAGCAATCACTCAGCAAGCAGTACCCACCAACTGCTCAAAGTAGAGCCCTGCATTGGGTCAGTACCTGCAGGTGACCTGCAAAATGGGTTGGTTTGGGTGGGAATGTGAACTACTTGTTTTGCAGTTTGGATGCGGGTCTGAAGAACATTTTTTTTGAGTTAGACTCGGGTTGGAATATAAGCCTCCCCACTGGCTGCTGACAGACCTGAAACAAAATGCACTTTACTGGAAGTGGCAGTGTGGATGAGATCAAACGAAGAAGGAAGAATGGCTGTGAAGGAGATCAAACAAAAGATAGATCAGGGTGTGTCGCCATTTGAACACTGCTTTCCGTAAAGTGCGTTTTGTTTTTCTTTTCACATCTGTCAGCAGCTGCTGTGTTTGAGTGTTCCTTTGGTTGTTTTTGGGCCTTGTGCTTTGAGCCAGAGACCTACGTGGGTCTGGTTTTAAAGGCCCACTTCTGACCCACACCCAACATTATACAACCAGACCTGCAACAACTCCTTGCCCACAAACTGACCCGACCTGAACTCTGTTAAAGTTAAAAACGCTTCTGACAGATATTAAAAAGAAAAACACATACTTTCCTGGAAGCAGCAGTGCATTAGCTTGACGTGGCTCTGCAGCATCTGTATAGGTCGGGTGTCATAGTGGGGCTTTTTTGGTGCTTTTATCTAATAGCTGATTCAGTCAGCTATTAGATAGATAAAAGCACCATAAAGCCTCAGTGAAGTACCCAGTCTATACAGACACTGCAGAACAGGGTCAAACAAACACACTGCTGCTTCTGGGAAAGCACAGTGATTTTTATTCCCCCCCACACCTATCAGTAGCTTTTTTAACTTTGTTGCTAGTGTGGGTTGCAGGTTCAGGTCCAGCTGTATAATTTCAGGTGTGGGTTGGAAGCAGGCCTTTAAAATCAGACCTATGCAGGTCTCTGGCTCAAATCACGTGTCCCAAAAACAACCAAATGAATGCCTACCAAACACACAGACAGACCAAGCTCACTTACGGTCCAGGAGCAGGATCTGGTGCCTGACTCCTTCCTCTTCTTCCTCTTGCCCCCTCGTGAACTGCTTGCAAACTGCCGTTTGCTCACTCCAGCTTTGCTTAATCCAGAAGTGGGCAAAATGCGGCCCGTGGGCCAGATGTGGCCCGCCAGCCCATTTTATCCAGCCCGCAGGGCCCCTAAAAAATTTAGAAAATTAATATTTATCTGCCCCTGGCTGCCTGTCATGTGGCCCTCAGTCACTTGCCAAAACTCGGTGTGCAGCCCTCCGTCCGAAATAATTGCCCACCCCTGACTTAATCTAACTTGGTGGTTGTGCAACAGGCAAAGAGATTGTTTACAAATCTGACTTTTTGGTGAAATTTGTCTACAGTTTCTAAGGAGAGGCTTAGAGCAGAATAGATTTTCATTGACTGGAGTGATATTGCTAGAAGTGCACTGATACATCTGTCTCATATCAGATAGGGACTGATATAGGGAAAATTGACAGTATCGGAAACCTTTTTTTTGCCTGATATGACTGATAAATGCCCCATGCATGTGCACAGCTGCAGCATGCATGCGGCTAGGAACACAGCCCAGCAGCTTGGAGTGCAGCATTGGGCTGGTAAGTGTGGTGTGGGGAAGGGGCATGGGGGGGGAGGTAGATTAAGCCCCTGTGAAGGAGGGAGTGGGGCAGGGGCAGATGCTGCTTGGCTGGGGGGCAGGGCATGGGACAGAGCCATGAGCGGCTCGTCTGGGGGGTGCAGTGGGGGGGGGGCAGCTCCCACTGCTGCATGCACCCTGGCACTCTAGGCACAGGGGGGGTGTGCTTTCAGGTCTGCGCGTGGGGCAAGGCAGGCTGTTGCTGGGGCCGGGGTTTTGCCGAGCTCTTCCTGGCAGGGGGTTGAGCAGGGCTGCGCTTGGGGCAGGCAGCAGTGCTGGGAGGGGGGCTATGACGAATTTTGGGGTGGCAGTAGCCCTTCTCCCAGCACCACTGCTGCCCACCCTGAGCACAGCTCGGCCCAGCCCCTGCCAGGAAGAGCCCAGGACTGCTCCACCCTGTAGCAGCA